CATCCGGCCCAGAGGACCGAGAGGATAATACATTGGAAGAACAGAGCTTACGACAACGATCGCCCTCGGCCGCGGCAGTCCTGTTTCCACCCGCAAGGTGCGCATATTCAAATCGTCTTATATATAACTAACGTAACTGTATGCCGAGCTCTTTAAGATTGTCTATAAGCCATTTGTATCGTCCAACCTCCTTACTTTTCTTTACTGTGCTTGGAAGCTTCGCTTTAGTTAGTGGACTCTAGGGCATTGTCGATTGTACTCCCTGTAAATGGTGATCTAATTCAGACACTAAGATAAAGGCGCTTGTACGGGGGGACGCCGACCAAATAGCCTATAACTAGAGTATATTGAATATATAGCCCTTGATGCCCACCCCATAGTCGACCGGCGCTTTGAACGTCCTCCTGCTTGCTAGAAGTGCAGCAGGTTAAGCCTTGCAAATAAAAGCCGAGCGCTCAGGTCGTCGCTTTATATGGTGTCTATACAAAACGCCGATCCGCTTCGCGATAGTAGTTGTGCTTCATCTTGTCACTAGCTTAACCATGACTTCAGGACAGTAGGCAGCAGAAAAGATAGAATAAATTGACTGTTACTTATTACAAATTAATACTACTATACTCCTGATAGTCCGTTCTCCTTTCGCCTTCCCTCTAGAGTTGATAGCGTGGACACGGTGTACGGATGACCTGCGCCTAATACCTCTTGCTGGAAATCAAGCAAGTCTGTGAGAGGCAAAGAGCATCCCCATGCGGCCCATATCTTTCCAAATCAAGGCGAGATTGCCCATACTGATCAGCGTATCGGGATGCTCCTCTCCCAGCAACCTCGAACTCGTCTCCATCACTGGCAGAAACAGCAACTCGGCCTCCTTCTACCGGCCTTGGTTCCGGTACATCGACGCCAGGTTGCCTATGCTGGTCAGCGTGTTGGGATGCTCATCTCCTAGAACCCTCAGACTCGTTTCTATAAGGTAGGTTTATATCTATTAAACTAAGATAAAAAAGCCTAATAGTACCTCAGTACGTTTTCAGGAACCTATCTAGGACTTATAGACATTAGAGCTAACGTACTCCACATGCGAACGCTCCACACGGGCGAACGCTCCACAGAATTGCGTCTGCACGTCTTACATCTTCTTTTTTCCTTTCCTTCAACAACGTAACATGCCGTCAAAAAACGATGAGGCCCAAGTCCAATTAGCCCTTTGGGCACTAAGAAATGATCTGAAACTCAGTCTAAGAACTGCAGCTAGGATCTATTCTGTGCATCACACAAAACTTAGTCGCCGGAGACGCGGTAAACAGTCGCGACATGACATTCCAGCCAACTCGCGAAAATTGACCGACCTGGAAGAATCAGTTATTGTTCAGTATATCCTTGAACTAGATTCCAAAGGACTTCCTCCCCGCTTGTCTGGTGTGGAAGATATGGCTAATCGAATACTCGCCGAACGCGACGCGCCACGCGTCGGGGTCAACTGGGCGTCAACCTTCGTCAAACGGCACCTAGAGCTCACTACGCGTTTCAATTGGAAATACGACTACCAGAGGGCCCAATGCAAAGACCCAGAGATTATACATAGCTGGTTTGCGCTTGTACGGAACACAGTCGCGAAGTACGGTATCTAGGAGGCGGATATCTGCAACTTCGATGAGACAGGGTTTCAGATTGGCATCATCTCGACTACAATGGTTGTCACAAGCTCCGAGAGGCATGGCAGGGCAAAGTCGAAGCAACCTGGCAATCGCGAGTGGGCAACGGTGATCCAGGGTATCAATGCTACTGGCTAGGCGATCCCTCCGTTCATTATTGTCAAGGGCAAGCATCACCTCTCCTCTTGGTACGAGAACAGCCCATTGCCAAACGACTGGGTTATCGCCACGTCCGAAAACGGTTGGACAGCTAATGAGAGAGGCCTGGAATGGATTCAGCACTTCGACAAGCATACCAAAGCTCGAACAACCGGGGTTTATCGCCTCCTTGTCCTCGATGGCCACAATAGCCACCACTCGACCGACTTCGAGCTCCACTGCAAGGAGTACAACATCATCACGCTTTGTATGCCTCCGCACTCTTCTCACATCCTCCAGCCGCTCGATGTTGGATGTTTCAGCCCGCT